ATGCATGGCTCCGCAGGTGGGGGGGAAGGGGATCCTCCCTCTGAGGCACGGGGGCCTTCGCCCGGCGTTTCATCCAGCCTGAGCTTACCGGGCTCGGGGGCGCAAGGGCAGCGGGGTGCTGAACGCGGGAATGAGAGGCGCCGCGAGGCCCCTTCAGTGGAGCAAATGGTGGAGCATCCTTGTCTTTGGGAGGGCAGCCAAGCCTCCATCATCATGGCGTGGCTGAGATTCCTGCATGTCGTCTCTGGCTTTAAATAGTGCGGCTGATTCTGGTGAGTCAGGTGTTCGGATCCCAGCAGTGCCTCTGAATTCACAGCGTGCCCTTGAGCAAGTCCCTTCTGGCGCAGCGTTTCACCCTTCCTCTCTTTAAGAAACATGTATCATTTAAGTCTCAAAACAATGAGCTTTAAGTTTATGATGTCCTAAAGCAGAAGGTATTGTGGTTCTCCCAACTTTTCTGAGTAACTGCAGAACTCCCTTGTCTAGGCAGCCACCTAATCCCTTTGCAAATCCCACCAGCCTGTTGGAGACCGTGTGACAGTGAGGTCCGCAGTATAGCATGTGCAGTAAAGCACATCATTTAATTGCTCTTAATTAGTAAATTTCCAGCTTTCTGCAGCTAATGCAGTTGTTGTGCTATGTCAATCTTTGCTTATATGTACTCATCCTCTCTGTTCCCAGTGTTATTTTGTATATGTTATTCTCTTTTATTAATTTATCCTTTGAACTATATAGTCACTGCATCTTAGCCTTTCCTAATATATCTTTTCATCTTTCTTAGCTTTCTTCTTAAGCTTTTCTTCATCCTCATTCCATTTTGGTTCCTGAAAAACTATGAAAGTTTGGCTAGTGACAGGAGCGTTGCTAGTGGGAGCTTTGTCAGTCTGTATCCTGTCCTTGCCCATTAAGCAATAATCCTTTAATTACAATTAATTAAAACCCAAGAGATGAGTAAGAGATGGATAAGAAGTTCAGGTTGTTGCTGCAGTATATAGTCAATATTATTGTTTTACCTAATGAAACAGATGTCATTGATGAAGGAACAGTTGTTCACTTTATCTTCTGGTACAAGAACTGTGGACCATCAAATGAAACTTGTGAGAAGTTTGTTCACAACTAATGCAAGAACATAGCTTTTAACACAGTGTGCAGTTAAGCTGTGGCACTCCTGGCCGCAGGGTATTAGAGGGTAAAAGCTTTTTATGTGTCCAGAAAGCATTTTAAAAAGATTAATGAAAAAGAATGTCTTGAAGGCTATTAAATGCAATGCAACATTTCTGGCTGAGGAAATCCCTGAGCTGAAAATTGCAGGAAGCTGGGAGGGTGTTCTGGAGATTTCTCCTACTCTTCCGTAGGTGATCTTTATTCGCCTGTGTCCTAGGCAGAACCCTGGTTTAACTGCAGATTTGTCTGACCTAGCATTGCTATTCTTAAGTGAAGATCTTCAAGCTATCTCAATTTTTGGCTAGCCTAAGTAAGGGCTAAAATGTGAATTACCAGTAAATCTTGTCACCTCTGTGCATGTTCTCATACCCTTCTCAGATCATTGAAAAAATGTTAACGGTGGGCTTTTTATTTCTCTCAACTAATCCCCTTTTCTGCAACCTCAAACTTTCCAGTTTTCCTTTTAAAATGTGAAAGCAAGATCTAGAGGCAAGTACTGTTTTGTAAGGTAAAATTACCTGCCTTCTTCAATTAGCTCTTTTTTGCCGCTGCTTTGCTCTGGGAGTATATGTTGTACTGGTTGTCAACTGCTGCTTTTCATCATATTTTGCAGGAATTGCTTTTGTTCCTGCTTCTAGACTAATGACTTCAGGGTTTTCTTTTTGTTAAATCTGTCTGTTTAAGCCCAGTATAAGGACCCTTGGTAACTGCTCAGTTCCATGTGTGTTTTCGTTATTTGCCAGTCGTTGCAGCTTTGCTTAGTACTGTGATGATCACCCGTGGATTTTGTCGAGAGTAAAATGTTACCTCCTGTCTATTGGTGGAAAAACTGAAAATTGTTAGGTCTAGTCTAGAAGTGATTTTCCTAGACTTTTGCTGGACCACTGCTGTTTGATTCTTTACTGACAACTGGTTTCAGGG